CGTGATTCCACCCAGTCGGCGTTGTTCACTCGCTACAGCCGCCATGTTTCTTCGTGCACGATCTTCTCACCCTTTTTCAGTGAACTTTGACCTCGTGATGAGTGTGTGATTGTGACACTGAAATGGAGGATGTCCCCAACGGCGTTGTTCTAATCAAATGTAAGTTGGTACCAATGGTGGCTGGGTGCAACTTCATGTCGGTGCAAAATGTTTTTCTTTTTTTTTTTTTCATCAAAATGATTAACCAGCGGCCCTCACTATTTATATTTGAGCTAATTCAGGACCTCTGACGCCGCACGCTGTTCTAAATCCGTCGGAAGTTAGAACACGCGGCGTACAAACCCCAACTTTAGGGGTGTCTCAACCACCTGTTGCCAACCTAATCAAAAGCGACTGGTTTCACGCAATCAAATCTCCTCAAGGACACGGGGTGCGTTCAGTTCTCACGGACTATTCGGGGGTATTTGGGTCAACAATGTGGTTTAATTTATCGCCTTCGTTTACTATAAATAAAAGTGTACTTGAACCGAGTGCTTTAATGGGTAATTCGAGATCCGGTTTAGAGTCCGGAAAGTTGCTGCTTTTTCCGGGCGTAATTCCACCAATTAATTTTAATGAATCCGACGCCATTATTCGCGATTTTTGGTGCTTGAAAAGTTTTTTCTTTTAATCTAACGTGCGATCATTTAAAGTTTACCCGCATTAATTTTTGATAGTAGAGTTTTGATTTAATTCAATGTAAAAATGAATGAAAATAATTTGATTTTGTGCTGGATTGACTCATCTGCATCGTAAACATAGTCATCACGGCGTGGTATTGTTGACACAAATTAGCATAATCGGCATTCGTGACGTTTCTCTATAAATGTGACTCCTGAAATGGACACTTCTTGAAGCTGTAAAATCCTTGCTATTTTTGATAAATGAGAATACATTGGAATTTTCTCCACTTTCTAATAAAATGCAATTCCCTTCATTGTTTGTGATCTTTAATGAGATATTTTAAGCCCTGAAAGACGTATTGTGATTTATTTCAGTCTTGAATTGTCGAGATTCTTCGATCTCGGCGTGCCATGAGAAATAAATGTAAGTCATTTTCCAATTAGTAAGGAAGTAAAGCTCGCTATTTGTTTCTGAAAATTCTCATTTTCCTGGGTGTCGGTTGCGAAAGCTTTCGTTGTTTGAGTTTATCGTTCGACAAAAAGCTCCGAGTTTTCTTTTTTCCAGCGCAAATGCGGCATGAACTTACACAACATATTACAAGAGAGTGTTGGAACATCTGTGCAAACCGACATTATATTTAGAGTTCACATTAGCGCATTTTAGAACGGAATTCCCCCCAAGTCGTCCACTAAATCGCTAGTGAAACATCTCGAAAATCGCAATTATTCCCTCAGCACTAAAACAACAATTCCACCATCTTAAAGCCCGATAAGAAAGGTAAATGAACTAGAAGCAAGCCTCTATAAATATCGTATTTATTGTTCCATTTTTCGACAATTCGAACGTACCCTAAGATCGAATTACACGATAACAGTTGTGTTGTTTTTACGGGATATTTGATTACATCACTGTCATTGATGAAAGTGCTGCCAACATCCGTCCAATAAAAAAAATTCGATTGCACGCATGATTCACGTTTTGTCTGTTGTTGTTGTATTCTTGAAACAATCAAGGTGTAACGAAAATCGAGTTCAATAAACCGAAAGAATTTTCCTCCAAGTACTTAGTTTCCTTGATTAAGTTTAATGTTGGCAATAAAACACAAGATGCGGGCGGGCGCAGCGTGGGTCTGCCGTGTTTTTGTTGTGTCTTTTCATAGAATGCAGCTGGATAAATAGAAAGAGCAGGAAAGCAGGTGCAAAAGACCAGCGAGGACACCGCGGAAAAGACACCGATTGCGATCTTTATGGGATACGGGGGCACGCAACGAGAATGATTCATGCAACGGCCCCCTTGAATAATTCAAGTTTTAACACGGGACAATAACACTTGCGTAACTCGGATGTAATAAAAAAAGTGTAGAATACAAGATCACAAGGTTGTTGAACAACTATTTTGGAGGTTGTCAAAATTGACGGATGTGGCCTTGAACTGTCTTATCTCTGGTCCATGGTCTTGTATTGTCAATAATCGGAGGCATATTTTTAATTCTGTGGGTTGGTAATGGATAGGCGCTGTGACCTTTTGATAACGGAGCACAATGTATACAATAATTACCCACATCCGCTCTCCAATCCCTTCAAAATTAACTCGAATGACCCCCACTAACCCATTGAATCAATTTTATTTACTCGAATAGGAAAAAACTCCAGGGCTTTATTAAAGCATAATCCAATGCGAGCGGAACTGTTTCCGGCCGAACCTGCGGAAGCTTAGCTTGTTCCATCTCGAATTCATCTCGTTTAATTAGAATTTCCCACAGACGGGCTTGTGGGACAACCAGAAGCTAATTATTGACGTCCTGTATCAACTACTTCCAAAACATAGTTCCAACTCCAAAATAAATAATAATAAATAATAAATAAAAATTTTGATCGCAAGGTATTACAACTTTAAAAATTCAAATTTATCAGATTTTCAATATTTAGTTTGTCAAGAAGTTTCATTGGTCAATTTATTCATCGTGTGCTACTCAAAAACCACCATTAAGTTTCCTAATTAATTCCTAAACACGTGCCGTGACATCGTGTATACCCCGTTTCAACTCTAAAAACCGCTCAAAATTCGCCAACTTGATTATGTAGCGTCAGGGTTCAACGACAAATAAACAAATGTAAATAACATATTTGTTGCGGATGGAGCTCCGGAAGCAGCCAATAAAAACCCGACCGAGCTGTCACTCACGGCCACGCCCCTGATTATGTCACATATCAGGCGCGGGAATTTAAATGTTTGGCCCAGTTTAATGTAGTGTGTGACCATATGTTGTTCGTTTTTATGTAAGGAAGGAGTTATTAAATGTGTATGACCATATGTGTTTTTTAACGATTTAATGAGACAGTCACCTTGCAAAATATGTAGGTAAGATAGGCGCCGAGTGTCGGAGAATTGCGCGGGTGAAACACGAGAGTCGATTCTGTGACTCCAACGCGACTCCAGTTGAAACGGGAAAAGCGTAGAGAGTAGTTGTCTCGGCGCAAAATGCGAATTTGCGAGTGCGTGAAAATAAAACGGTTCTTATGCATACTTTCCTAGCAAGAAAACTTGAACCCTGCGCCAGTGAGTATTGTTGCAAAATGTTTGAACGTTTTTTTTTTTTTTTTTTTTTTTTTTAATTGAGTTATACGAACCAAGTTTGTAAAGTGTTGTTAAATCTAGTGCTTAAAAAAATAATTATTTACTTTTACAAACTTTTAAAGTTGATGCGCTCTTGTCGATGATGAGCACTCTTCGAAAATTGGGATTAACGTCCAAGGCCGTGCCAGTTTACAAGCTGACGCAATTAAAGCAATTTAAGTCGTTGCTGTGAACAAATAAATACACTTTTCTGAACTAATTAGTAGTCTTTGGCGCACAAAGTTCATCCGGTTCGAAGGACTCTTCTTTGAAGTCGATCCTTCAGAAAAAAACGATTGTGACAATAAATAAAACGCCATCAACTTCCTGATTAAAATGTTGCACACAAATTGTTCTGTTACCCCCCCATGGGGACGCCGCTTGTCATAATTATGGGTTTCATGGCCAACGTCGTTGTGCAACCGTTTGCGGAATATCAAGTAGTCGATGGGCGGCCTCGACTGTTTTTATGTCACAGTCCACATATATAGCATGACATTTGAAAAAAACTACTCGAAAATGGCACTTTTATCCTGTCACCTCTCTTTGGAGTTTGTACATTTCCTCATTTGAAAAATAATGTTCTATTCAATAGTTTTTCTCAAGACGGCCCGTGTCGGTATTTCACCGGTTTGACGTTTAAACAAAACAATGTTGTAGCTTATAAATATTTATTTTTCTAAAGTTGATATGACGGCCTCTGATGTGTTTACTTCTAGGTCATTTCCATGGTGTATTCCGTCAGTATTAGACTTATTTTTAAGTTTATGTTAAAAAAAAATCAATTTTTAAAACTTGTTTGAGTTGACAACGTAATAAAAGGCTTTGAAAAGTCACACGAATATTATTACAATTTAAAAATTAAATGTTATATTGTAAAGTCAGTCATTTTTGGTTCACTCTGTACAGTACAGTAACTTATACTGGGTGAAGCATCTTACATATAAGAAATAGTGGAGTTTCTTGGCTCTAAATTCCTCAAAAGAATGTACAGTTCCAATATGTCTATTCTCTAGTGTAATTTAGGCGATAAAAGCCTTAAAAAAGCGTGATCTTTAAAATTCAGCTGCAATATTGCCATTTTTGTTCATTTTATACACGGTGTGTCAGAAATCGCGTCCCARAGAAAAGTAAGTAGAGTAAGATAAGATACCAGGAACATTGTAAAAATTAAAAAAAAAATTCTATCAATAAATTTGGCATTTATTTTTTGACATTTGACATTTTGTTATGTCTGGATACTGATGATCTTGTATACGGTTTTTATAATTATTTAGTGAAGGTACAAAAATTTTGCTAATAAAAGCCAAAACTAACATTAAACAGAGTTACAATTTAGGATAACAACTTTCCTGTTTCCTCTTCTAATAGCCTGTAGCAAAAAAAAAATGAAAATTATTTTTCCAACAGAAATAAAGAGGGTCAAAATGCAAAATTAAAAACTTACATAATTTCGAAATTTTTATAGATAGAATTTTTTAAACATTTTTTCTCTGTTCTGACACACCTTTTATTTGGGGGATTACCGATTTATTTATAAAATATTAGATTAAATTTCGGATTTATAGCTTCGTATTGCAAAACCGAAATAAAATCAAATCAAATCTAATTTATAACGTGCCTGCTTTATCGATGTGACATTTAACATATTTAAACTGTTCTTGGGTACCACCTCCTGATGTGACATTTGCAACGTTTCAAAATCGCATTTTCTCTTCTAGACGAGCCCCGCATCCGTTCGGGCACATGGGAGGAGGCGTCTTGCGAGCATCGTGTCCCCAGCCGCACCCTGCAGCACACAGTCTCACAGCGGAGCTCCGAAGACAGCTGGTGCTCCGGTTCGGACCCCGAGCTGTCGTCGGACGGCGAAAGTGACCGCAGCGCCACCTCCAATTCCAGGTCAGTGCAAAGCGACAATCGAAACAATCGAATTAACGAGGTCACKTAGGGTCAACAACACCCAATTCCGCAACACGTTGAATAAGGCGAAGACGTTGTGCGATAAGTTCAGGGCGAGTGGCGGCATCGGTTCCAACCATCGGCTCTCACTCGATGGGACTTTACCGGATCAGGCCAATCAAGCGAACCAAGGGAAGCTGTCGCGGTGGTTCTCAATCCGGCGGGGAAGTACCCACCAGTACGACATCGAAAATGTGGACGGAAAAGCGAGTCCAGGGAATAAAATGCCGCTTCTACCAGAAGTCGACGAGGAGAACGCGTTCAACTGTTCGGTGCAGCAGAGGAGACAAGTGCCGCCCGCGTTGCCGCCACCGCCCCCGAATTTGACCCCTCAGCAGCTGAAAAGGAGGATGATCGTCGCGGCGATTGTTCACAGCGAGAATTCGTACGTCGCGACGCTGCAAAGGCTGGTCAATGTGAGTGCCGAGTACAATAAATGGGATTAAATCTCACGCTTTTGTGCAGGATTACAAGAAGCCGCTGGAGGAGAGCAGTCCGGCGATTCTCAGCACTTCTAAAATACACACTTTGTTTCATAGACTGCCGGAAATTCTCCAGTGCCATACCTTGTTTAGAATTGCTTTAGCCGAAAGTGTTCGAAACTGGGACCGAGATGAGAAAATCGGAGACGTTTTCGTCGCCTCGTTCTCAAAAGCTATAGTACTCGATATTTATAGCGGTTTTATCAACAATTTTTCAGTCGCGATGGATTTGGCCAAAATGGAGGCTAAACGAAAGTCAGCGTTGGCGGACTTTTTAAAAGTAATATTCCAGATGACTCAAATCAACTTCTTTCTAAGTTGGTTGTTTGTTGCAGGTGAAGCAGATCAGTTCACACGATCGGTTATCATTTTTCGGGTTAATGGTCAAGCCGGTTCAGCGATTTCCCCAATTTATTTTATTTCTACAGGTTAGGACTGAAAATACTTAAATTTTATTTATTTATGGGTTATTTTTTGAAGGATTTGCTGAAACACACCCCGCAAGGCCACCACGACCGCATGTCTCTCCAGTTAGCGCTGACTCAACTCGAGTCTCTTGCTGAGATGCTGAACGAGCGCAAAAGAGAGGCCGAACAGTACCAAGCTTTCAAAGAGATGTTGCGCCACATCAGCGGCAAATTCTCGGTACGGCCTTTGTCGGACTGTAACCGATATTTGCTACGTGAAGATAACGTTATGCAATTGGTAAGTACTCGTCAAGTGATTTATGAAGTGTTAATTGCCTATCTTAAAGGAGTACAACCAAGGCGGCATGATAACAAAAGCCAAAAACCGCCGACTTTTACTCTTGAACGATTTAGTAGTGTGCGTCTCGGTCGCACCGAAACCTTCCGATGATTTCGGAACGAGCGAAAGACTGAATTTAAAATGGACCTATCCGGTTGCCGACGTCGAAATCCAAGACAACAGCCCGTCCCCCACTCTAAGCCGGGTTCTAACCGCCGGTTTAAGCAAAGGCGGGAGCGTTAAATCGAACAGTTCGTTTGACGGCCAACAACCCCAAGATGCTAACAATTTGTGCACCGAAATGAGCAATCTAATGCACGATTACGAGATCATGAGTCGCATTTCGGATCTAGTTGGCTCTCTGAAAGGCAACTACAAAGACATCACTCTCGAAAACACCCGAAAGATTCTACACCAAATCCAGACGTCGATTCAACAGAAAGACGAGGAAATGGCGTGGGTCGACTCGTGTTGTCTCCAATTAGTCGTTAAAACCAAAGGAAAGGAAGAAATCTTTACATTCAAAACTGACAATCCCTCCATTAAGAAAGAGTGGATAACGGAATTGAGACTGGCACAGTTGGCTTTGGACCCGAACAATTCTCCCGCATGGGAAGTCCCCGAACAGGAACAGCGTCCATCGACGAAAATGCCCTTGTTTGTCAAATCCCAGTGTGTGTACAAATCGCAGCATCAAACCGAAGTAAGTGGACCCTCCAGGTTTCGAAACTAACCGGTAGTCTGGTAACTTTACACCAATTAAAACGCAACAAACGCACTATAGATGCCTGTTTTAAATACCGTCTACTTCAAATTAAAGTTGTTAACATAGAAATTACATAACAATACTTGAAATCAGTTGAGTCAATAAAACGTGATATAGACGTTAATATTGTGAAATAAATTTAACATGATGTTATCAATTCTCGGTATATTTTTACTTCAATAATCTGCAAACAACTTAAGGATCAAATCGAGATTGTTATTAATGCTAAACAAAGTTATGCAATCGCAAATTAGTTTCATCTTGAGGCCGTCAAATTAGAAAAAAAAAACTCTCATTTTTTGATTGTTTTCAAACATTGGGGTTTCCTGTATTTGTATATCATATATTATTCACTTCTCTTTTTTATTTTAATGTTCTTGCAAATTGCAACCGTTCAAGAACTTACATCTTGCCTTTAAATTTAATCACATTCTTATAAATATAAAACGTCCAATTATTATTAACTTCATAAAAATAAAGTTTTATACTCGCTTTATTGAGTACCTATAAAAGTGTCAATTTAAATTTCAAGTAACAAATTCTAACAAAAAAGTTCTCATCTAACTACACAGAAAACGAACTCTAAAAATAACTCAGAAATAACACAAAAACACACTCTTGATTATCCGTCAATATATTCAAAAGTTCGCCCCCTACYGACTGCACCAATAACGCAAATTGGTTTCAGGTGCGCTGYGGATGCTACTACACTGTCAATTCTGTAAAAACGACACGCCGAAGACACCGCACTCAAAACTACCTCTGGATATGCACGACAGATGGTGCCAGCAGTCATATTGCGATTTTGGCCCAACACCACCAACAAGCGAGTGTTCTTAAAGACGTGACGTCATTCAGTCTTGTAGAGACACAAGTCACGGCTATGGAATTCGTAAAAGGGGCCCCACATCCGTGCCCGAGTCTCGCCTCAGATTCGGTTTGGATGGGTACCGACAGTCACCGCCTCCTGTTGTACGCCGCCGACGAGCCGGAAAAACAAGAGGAAATCGGAAGCGCGGCCGTTTCGGATGTCATAACCCAAATAAAATGTCACTGTGATAGCGTTTTCGTCGCCTTAGCAAACGGAACTTTAAATGTATATAGACGGAACATGGTCGACGGTAGTTGGTTGTTGCAAGAGCCTCAGATTATTAATTTAGGCTCTGATCCGGTCTCAAGTCTACTTCCCATCAACTCGTGTCTTTACGCCGCTTGTGGGAAGAAAGTTTGGGTCATTAGTGGACTCACCGGGGAAGTACAAAAGAATTTCAGTATTCAACACGAGCACGTCGGGAATGTCAACCTTATGGCACATAGCGGGATCGGTCTTTGGATCTCTTTAAAACATTCGAGTACCATTTGTTTATACCATACTGAGACTTTCAAGCATTTGCAAGACATTAATATTGCTTCGAATGTCATGAGGGTTACGACGCCCTCCAGCGGCCGGGACTGTGTTAACAACAATCGGTCACAAGTCAACGTTACGGCCCTTCTAGCGTGTAAGGGACTACTCTGGGTTGGTACCAACGTAGGTATCACACTTACTATCCCTCTGCCAAGRCTAGAAGGCGTACCGATTATAAGTGGGCGTGTCAATATATCGTACCACGCTCACTTTGGACCAATCTCCTTCCTTCTAGCCTTGCAACCAAAGTCTGGGGCCGTACCCAAGAAAGACCCACCTCAAGACGAGACGCCTCAAGAAGACCGTCCTAAGATGGAAAAGCAGCTCTCTGATACTTCCATGTCATCGAAACTTCGCTACTTTACGAGTAGTCCAGTGGTCGTCCGTCGTCGTAAATCTAAAGACTGCGACATTTCCCGTCTGTCTAAAACATTACCGAGAGGTTTCGGTAACGGTGGCTCCATCTTCTCGACCAGCAGTACTTCGTCGCAAGTGTCGGGCGACACGTGCGACGTGTACGGCCTCTACGGCGAGTTGATGTACATCAAAGACTACGAAGGCGAGGAGCATATTCTCACTGACCCGATTTACGAATCGTTGCGTCGCAGTGATCCCGAGTTGGCCATACCTAACAAAGTTAGCACTCTTGACAGGAGGCTGAAAATGAAAGTGAGTAGGCCTCGGTCGCTCGATTTGTCCAACTGGTCGGTGGATTCGCGGTCGTCGAGTCTGTGCACGTCGTCGGGAAGCGAGGAGAGTATGGCGATGCGGCACGGGGCGGGCCGGAGCGTTTCGCGCAACAACTCGAATGCCAGTAGACAGTTGAACGGGGTTAGTGAGAACGAGGAAGAGAAGGAAAAGCCGGCAGTGGCGAGTAAAACGTTGAGTAAAGGCGGCGTGGCTGTGGATAACGCGAGGAGGACAGTTATAACTTTAATGGGGGGCCGGGGGTACGTGAATTTCAGACAACCGTGTTGTCCGGCCGATAAGTCGAAGAATTCGTTTTCGATCAGGGAGTCGAATAGGAATGATGCTCATATTGTCATATGGGAACTGAAATTGTGATCAGGTTCGGCCTAACTAATTATCCAAAATGGCGGTATTTTTGTAATTGTGTAAAAAATCTCGATTATTTTTAATTTATTTGTTGTAAAGTTTTTTTAAGACGTCTTCACCACTTAAGGTTTTTAATGTGCCCTGTTACATATAGTTGCATGTTTAATTATAATGAATTTATTACTGTTCACTGTGTTATAGAGCATTTATTGAAAATAAATACAAAATTCTGCGATCACCAGTCTTGCTTATTTATTTACACTGACTGAGCGGACGTATTGAAACTAAGATGACTGTAGCACTCCACAAAGTGGCGCCTGAGAAAAATTAATCAATTATTTTACACTTAAAGTGTGTTTTTAATACTTAACTTGAAAATTGAAGTGTGGTAATTAAAAAGTAAATATTTTTATAGACTAAATATTTGTATAAATTTACAATTCCAAGCAGAGTAATTGACTTGTTTTAAAAAAATGGTTAGTCATTTGTGTTAATAATAATTATGTTTGTAATCAATAAGTGTCTACTCGTCTGACGTAATGGGATTTTTTTTACAAAATAAAATTCACAATTGCCCAAATAACTGATTAAATTTTGTAACCCGAATATATCTACAATTTTATATAGTTTTGGAAGTATTACCACATTTTATTATTCATTACATCTTCGTATTTTTCTGTAGACGCAGAAAGCGGCCAACCTGAAGCTAATAATCTTTTTCTAGGGTTTTGTGCTTTTATTTTTTCTTATTTTGATTTCTAATTTTAAAGAAATAACATATTTAATTCATATGCAGTATGTCTCCGGATTGGGTTTAAAAGAGGAAATTTTTTTTATCTTTCATTTTAGAGAAAGAAAAGAAAAGAAAAGCTAATTTTTCTCTTGATTTTGGACTCTGCTTTTCAAGTCCTATCATATTGACGGTTTTATTTCCAAAATCAAAATAAAAATGGACTTTTATTTCTAATGAGTTAGAATAATGAAGTTTTAATTACTACAGATTTGCTCGTTTCAGGTAAAGCAAAAAATGTTTTTCCTTTGCAGTTTTGGCGTAAAATCAAGGATAATTTTTTTTTCCTCTTGTAAACTCAATTCGGGGACATATTGTATATTATAACATGATATTTTATTTTTCGTAATCCCATAGTGTTATTTGAATTTAACGCAAGTGAAATGACAAATGAAAAATKATTTTTTATAACAGCCTCCGTTCGTTAAGGATTATAACGGTCGTGATTAAGAACCATGGCCTTCATGATGTTGCGATTTATTTTATGAAATCATGGAAATTCAAAGCTTTGCTCCCATTGCCATCCTAATCCTAATGGACTACGCTTTGCCAATACTTACGCGTATAAAAGCTGTTGTCAACATGGTCATGCAACCACCAATTCGCAATAGTGGCAGAATGCATTGGAACTTGTATGAAATACAATGGGAAAAATATCTACAATAATTCAATTTGTTTACATCACGTACAATCATGAATTACTTTGATTGTAAGGTAGTATTATAATTAATTCATTATATAAACAAAAATACCGTTTGATAATGATATTATAATAAACTGCGTGCAACAAAAGCCTTTTGTAAGCCCATTCAAATTAGGCGGTGGTAGGATTATTATTGAATCCTCCTCTGGATCGTATTGCGAAAAAAAAGGTTCGATGTAGTCCTGACTTTGAATTTGTAGGTAAAAATGTACTTAGTTTGAATATTTGTTGTTTTTAACATCATGAAACAAATTCCCAACACTACACATAAAGATTAACAAAAGAAAAAAAAACATTTTTCTCTCATTAGACCCGTTAGTCTTCAACGACACACGTCCGATAAACATAACAGATTCGGTTGATTCAACCTCATCTGTTATTATTTGGTAGATATCGACCTTATGATTATGATGTTAATAACTATAACGRAAAATGAAATATTTATGTATTAATAGTTAATAGTACCTATTAAGAATATTGAGTGAAATTATTTAGTGTTGCTTATTAATTCATTAGTTATTTTTGTAACTATGTTTCACCGGAAATATTTATTTTCTTTTTACTGACTAATTCTATACATCGTCCGTGAGTCATTAGTTCATTACATTATTTTATATTTTGTTAGTTATTTGTAAAAGAGTTAGGTACTTCTTCAACGAATCTACTGTGAGTAATGACACAGAAAGAGATTTTACTTATCTGTATAAAAAAATAGAGCAAAACACACAATTTTTATAACATGGAGATCAAATTTTACAAAATACGAATTTAAAAGAAACTTTTTAGAAACACTTTTGTGATTACAACTTTTTTTAGAAGTAGAAGTACAATGGCAAACATTAAATTTTGGTAGTCAATGTCATTGCCTAACATGCTCTCTTGTGTGGATGTCAAATACCTAGCTATCTTGAAATTGACGGAACTTCTTACGAGCCMCAACTGATCAGCTAACTCAACTTCAAAAAACCTTTCTCCAGAATGGTAATTATTTTCACTTTATTGAAGTTACAGACTGGCGACACAATAAAATATTTGTTAGTCAGTTTTTGGCGTGATGTTTTGACATTTATATTCATTTTAGGAAGAAGGTTRGTTGACAATAAACAAAATTACACAGGGAATCTACCGAAATTTAATGCTAGCCATTGAACATCTACCTACATTGCTTACAGATTAGCACGGAAGAACTACATTACAAAAAAAATCTGCCAGAGGAAAAAAAACAAACTTGTCCGTTCCTTAATACATATAAATTCAAGATTGTAGCGAAAAATGTTGCTTTTGGTTGATAACGTTGTAAAATGTGTTGCCTAAGTGCGCTGTTGTATTACTGGCTGCATAGCTTGTTATTAGAACSCAGCAGTGCTTCCACCTCCACTRTTGCCCCTTTTCAGTTTATGACACATTTTTCGGTCCAGAATTTAGCATCCTCCGCCATGTTTCCAAAACAAAGATGGACGTGAAAGTAGTGCATGTGCACCCCTTTTAAGTGCAACACCCGATACCTTATCGGTGCTGGTGTTTATATTGATATTTGATAACGATAAGGTGAGTGAACCTGACGTAAGCAATGACGTCGTTTTAAAGCGGGCCATTATTAACAATTTAAAGAGCCTTTGACATGCAAATAACACCCGTTTATAATAATGCCCCATTTACATTCAGCGACAAAATTAACCCTTCCCGCTTTGAACAAAAGACCGCGATTTTTTTCGATAACACCAAGCCGTGAAATTCATGACGGATTACCATCATAAATAATTCCAGACAGGTTCACCCCATTTTCGAGGTTATGTCCGACGGGGTGTAATTGCGGGGGTGCACAGGTGGTCGCCATTCGCGATTTATGATCACATCAAATGGCTTATAAAATTATAACAGTGTAAAGGGGCGTAATGGGTTAATAGCTTTGTTGTTCAGGACGATTGAAAACCGCAATAGGCGCAGGGTTTAWTTTGGGGGCTGCGCGAGGAGGTTTCAAAAGTTCGGGGGCGCCTGGGACTGATTAGATTGTCGCTTGTTTTTTGTGACAGAGAGATTTGTAAACATCGATAACGTCCAAGAACAAAAGAGAAACATGTGTGAACCGAGGTGACCTGATTCAAATAAAATTCATGAGTTCCTATGGGCTTGGAATTGTGATTAATTCATTTTGTTCAGAGAAATTGCTTTGTTGGTTTAAGTTTTAACACAAAATTTTACATGAAAAAGAATGTTCATAAACGGTTTCATAACCTTACCTGACCTGACCTGACCGAAAATATTCTTTTAAGTTTTTGAATTTTTTGATGTTTTGCCAATTATAACAACCAAAATGGAAATRTTTTGTACTATAGAGGCTGTCACATACAGGGTGTGCCAGCAAGTTGAAAAAGTCCATTAGTGACCTTTAAATAGTAAAATTTAAAAAAAAAATGTATAAGGCATTGATAGATACTTATCTAGTGCATCACCTAAAATTATTTTCAACTATACAGCATGTCTCAAAAATAAGTTACGATACAAACTTGTTTTTTTTTAATGAATCACCGTGTTTCTTGACACTTTTGGATGTAGTCTTTTAAAACAATATTTTTACTCTAAAATTTTAGTCGATTTCGCTTAGTTTTAAAAATAAGAGGTTTTTTTCAACGAAAACATGCACTTTTTAAAAATTTATTATACAAAAACTAAGACAGTTCCAACAATTTTTTTTTACTTCTGCAAAGAAGAAAGTATAGAATTTAAGACTGTAGCAATTTTTTAGTGTTTTGTATTTGTAAAGATTAAAAAATGAAGAAGTTTGTTAAAAGTTAAATAACTTAAAAAAATTAAATGGAACAACCTATCTTTTATTTTTTCATCTATAGATTGATAAATTGTCTATCTAAAAAAATAAACTTTTTATGCCTAGTATTGATAAATGAAAAGATATCTAACATTAAATATTAATTGTAGCAACAATGCCTATCAATATATAAGCATTGTTGATACTATGACAACCATACTAATTCCACCACGGATCACTTATCCGTTGATTTATCCAGAGATAGTAAAAGTCGTTATAAATACTGAAATTCGAATTATTTTATTGTAAAAATAAAGAATAATGGATTCAGTTTTAACACAAATGTGATTATTAAGTGATATTTCTTCCATCTCTTGTGCAACTGTGCACTTTTTGGCTACTGAAACAATAGTAATTACTTTTTTTTAATGTTTAACGTTAAATATCTTTGTAGTTATTGATTATAAACACCTAAAAGTAAATAATTTTAGAAAGACAATTTAATAATCTTTTAAATGCAAAAACAATAAATAGGGTGTTTCATTTAAATTTTTTAAGTTATTGAACTTTTAACAAACGCCCTTCATTTTTTTATCTTTGGAAATGCGACACACTAAAAAAATGTTACAACCTTATAGCTTGTACCTTTTTCTTTGCGGTAGTAAAAAAAATATTTCTAGATGTCTTAGTTTTTGTGTAATGAATTTTTAAAAAGTGCATGTTTTCGTCTAAATAACCGTCTTATTTTTAAAACTAAGCAAAATCGACCAATAAAAGTTTAGCATAAAAACATTGTCGTAAGAAACATGACGTTTCATTTGAAAAACACAAGTTTGTATTGTAACTTATTTCTGAGAGATATAGTTGAAAATAACTTTAGGCGATGGACTAGATTAGCATCTATCAATGTTCTATATATTTTTTTTAAATTTTACCATTTGAAGGTCACTACTAATGGACTTTTTCAACTCGCTGGGA